AACGGTATCTGTCAAGCCAGCATACCCAGAGCTTTTAAAAGCCTTCAAGGGCATTGATTGATTCTGGATACTTCCTGAGTTGCAGATGAAGCAAACCGCAGCAAATTGAGTTTGTGTTGGATGTGTTGAGCCTTTGTTACCAACCTCACCCCCCCCATCTTCCTCTTAGCCATTTTGAAGAATTAAGCCAGTATTTCCAAACCTACAGCTCCATCGCCACCCTCTTCCAGGATGCAATGAATTGAAAAAAAAAAGCACTTGATTGCAGCTTTGCATGGGAATTCAAAACACCTGCTGTAAGGAATGATATGATGAGGGCTCCTGGCACATGAGCCGAGTGCTGTTTCTCTCAGAACAATTTCCATACTTGAAAACCCCGATCCCAGCAGTGACTCAACAGGAAACGAGACGAAAATAATAGAGCATACTGAACATTCCTCATAACACCCAGGGCCCTGAATGGGGAGGGGGGGGGAGTCATACCGACTGATTGACTCACGTCCGTCACCACGGATTCCTGCTAAGGGTTTCGGGGTACCCGAGGGGGGAACAACGGCCTTTGTTTTCTTTCTCCTGCCAGCAACAGCAATCATGTGGCCACACAATGGTGAATGAGAGCCGCGTTTCCTGTTACATCCCCCTCTCCTCTCCCCACACACAGTCGATCACACACCCACACGCGCGCGCGCACGCACACACACTCGCCTGTCGTCACTGCAGCCCGGCTCTGATCTCACAATAAAAGCAGGATTTCCAGGTTAAAAATATCTACAGGAAGCCAGCTATGCTGGGGTTTGAGACAGCATTTTTATCAGCAACGCCGGGCTCACAAGACACCGTTTCCTCTTCCGTTCTGCTGCCAGCACTTGAAAGAGCAACAGGAGTAGTCAACACTGTTTTTTTTCCAGGTGAACGTTGCCCCCCTACAAACCCCTCCATAACACGGTGTCTCCTAACCACACGCTCACAAGACAGAGCAGGAGCACAGAGACGGCACCGTGAGCCCTCACCTCTTAAAACGTCACGCACTCACTGCATGCAAAAATGTTTCCACCATGTGTAAGCAGGCTTTGCTTGGATAACCGAAACGTGATGCTTTGTCTAATGAGGTGAGTGCACGAAGTTGGCCAATATAGTTTTTATTGGCATTCCACAGCTGAAAACCCACTCTGTACAGCATGCTACAAAACCCCCCTTACGATGCCGACGGCCTCAGCGGTATCATGAAGGGTGTGCCACAGGTTTAATACCCTATTCACTGATCATAAAGACGAGCCAGTTGTGCTTTCACCTCTGACTCAAGCGTTGAATACTGTCCTGCTCGCGTGGAGGGTGGAATTGAAGACCTGCAGCACAAGAGCTTTTACTGCAAAAGAGCTTTCGTTTTGAGCCACAGAGACACCAGCAGCGCTGTCTCCCCAGAGCGCAGTGGGGACGCTGGGTGATCTTCGCCCCTGGG